ACCTACGATTTATTGCCATCTTACTATTTTTTGTCACGCTCCTGAAGTTTTTCTTCGACTTACCTCTCGTCAATTATTTCCGCTAGTTAGTTTCTTTCCTTGTGTACGCTTTTGACGCCCTTTCTATTCTTTCCATTTCTATTATTTCCTTTTCATTGTAGTTTGTCTACGATTTTTATTGCTGCCACATCATGCGCTATCCGATCGTTCTGTTTTGCATCGTAAGCGGTTGCTTACCCTACCTACAATGCGTTCCATGCCGCATGTTCTCTCTTATTTGTATTCTGTGTCTTAACTGACACTCGTAAACACTCTTCTGCTGCGGACGTGGGGTTACCTTGCTTATTGATCTCCTAACTTTTCCATGTTTCCTTTCGTTAACTCCTTCCGTACGTTGCTGGAGTTTCTAACATGTTAGATTCTTTCCTTTTTTGTACTTTTTTTCCAAACTTGCTTGTTTTGTACGGCAGCTGCTGTCCTTCCGCATCTTCTGATTTTTAACCGAAAATTATTTCGTCTCTTTGATTTTGTCTTTCTCGCAATATATTTCCTTTTGCTTTTTGTTTTTTCGGATGCTGTTTCGTCAAAAGTTTCTTTGACCGTTGTTCTTAAGTGTAGGCATTTCCCTCTCATCCCTAAATTATGTATTCTGTCATGTTTCGACTTAAATACGTATTTTCTGTTACGATGCCATGATTGTCTTTAGTTTTTTTCTCAACTGTTTCTCATTCATAAGTCCCCATTTAAAATTTCGTCTCAGTATTTGCTTGCTTACAGTTTGCAAGCATTTACATCACGTCATTCGTTTTCCGAACGTGCTGGCTTTTCATCGTTAGTTCTTTTTCATACGTATGTAGTTTATCGTCCTGTTGTTTGCTCTTCAGTGCTGTAAACGTGCTTGGGATAGACCTTTTTCTACTTCAGGTTTACTTGTTAAATTTTCATTATGTCTGCGCTTCTCATTTGTAAACCTAAGTGATTAAGTTTGATACAGATATTTTATACAGATGATTTGCATACTTCTGCTTGATTCATATTGCAATCATTTGTCTAATTGATGTCCTGTACACGTATATGTATACAAAAATTAATATGCTTTTATTGATATACAGTCGTGACAAAATAGTCTTTACATACGAACTGCAAGACTGCAAGACGTAGCCTCACATATCACAGACAGAAATGATCGGGTCAAGCATGCCAAAAGTTTACATCGCATTCCCATGTTTACACTCTAAAATATATCTTGCCCTGAAAATATATTGTAAGAGTAGCAACTTCATGAGCACGGCCTTCCGGCTTCTGGAGGATTTGATTCTCGGTTCGTCCCTCTCCTACGCCTGATATTGCTGTTGGTTGTAGGTGCATCCGAGAAACCGCTTCGGCTGGATCTTCATGATCGGGAAACTATGCTTTGCCGGTAAGTTGCTGAAGTTATGAGTTTATAAAAAAAGACAAGGTTAGAAATTTAC